GCAGCAGTTAAGAAATCAAATGACATATTGCATTAGGCAAATCTGCTGCAAAAGACCTTGTTAAAGTTTTCAAGAGCAAAGATATCAGTTTGGAAACTAAGGTGTGCCTGACCCAAGCCACAGAATTTTCAATAGCCTCCTATGCATGTGAAAGTAAGACAATGAATAAGGAAGGCTGGTCGTAGGAGAACTGATATACTTGAGTTATGATGTTGAAGAAGAGTAGTGAAAGTATCATGGATTGCCAGAAGAACAAACAAATCTGTGCTGGAAGTATAGCCAGGCTAGCAAGATTTCATCTCTCATACTTCGGAGAGAGTATCAGGACCAGCCCCTGGAGAAGGACATCATGGCTTGGTAAGATAGGATGTCAGTAAAGAAGAGGAAGACCCCCGATGAGATGGATTGGCACAGTGGGATCAACAACAGGCTCAAACGTAACAACAGTTGTGAGGATGACACAGGACCAGGCAGTGTTTCTCCTGTTGTATGTAGGGTCGCTGTGAGTTAGAACGGACACGACAGCACCTAACAGCAAGAACAATGTACTCTGTAGTACTTCATAGTTAATGATGAAAGCACGTTAAGGAAAATATTGAAATAGTATCAGCATAGTTAATGGTATCAGCATAGTTAATGGTATCAGCATAGTTAATGTTATCAGCATAGTTAATGGTATCAGCATAGTTAATGGTATCAGCATAGTTAATGGTGAAAGCATGTTATGGAAAATATTGAAATGTTATCAGCAATGAACTGTGAATCACAAAAGAGAGTGGGTCAAGCCTCCAATTGTTCCACAAAGGAAAGATGAGGTTTTCTGCTCCCTCAAGGATTTAAAACCTTGGAAACCCTATACAGACAGGGTCACTATGAGTCAGAAACAACTTAATAGCACTTAACAACAACAACAATGTCACTTATGCAAAAGCCTCAATTCCTGAGAAACCCTGAAATTATGCGTTCCTGAAAAGTGTGGCTTGTTGTTGTTGTTGTCAGGTGCCATCGAGTCGGAACCGACTCATAGCGACCCTATGCACAGCAGAACGAAACAAGGTCCAGATATATTCATCTTGATTAGACATTTACTTTTTTCATCTTGATACTCAATTTATATTGCATAATGAAATGTATGTTTCAATTGTCTCACTTTTTTGATAACTATACAGTAAATCTTTTTAAGTGCTTACTCTGAGACAATTACTTAACAATGTACTATTTGCTTTCTTCCAAGTACTTTATTCATCATAGCATTATTTTCACTTCACCAAATTTACAACATATGGTAGTGGTTTTCAGATTGTGCATCCTCAGAACCCCTTCAAGAGACCATCCACCAGGTGGCACTCTAACCCCTTTTCCCATCCCTCCATTCGAGCAGTTCCTCTTTCATCTGTTGCTACAAATTAATTAAGTGGTGTAAAGTCAATTCCAACTCATAGCAACCCTGTATAGGGTTTCTGAGGGGTGGGTGGTGAGTTTGAACCACCGACTTGGCAGTTCAAACCTGCCTTGCAGTTCAGCGCACTAATTCACAGTGCCATAGACTCCTTACAGACTATGAGTCCTGTGGGTTAATACGCTGGATTGCAAAGTCGGTTTGAACTGCAAGGTCGGTGGTTCGAGCTCAGCAGCTGCTCCTTGGAAACCCTATACAGGGTCACTATTGGTCGGAATCTACTCAACAGCACTTAACAATAAAAAATGACACTAGGAAAGATTAATCAAATCAACAGCTATAGAAAGGAGAGTACAAGACCAGGGATGAGGATTAACTGGGAAATTTTCAAAGGAACATTCTGAGGTAATGAAAATGTCCTACAACTTGATACCTTGATGACTACATAGGCCTATACATTCATCTTACCACCCGTCTGTCAGCTTGTCACACTGTGGTGGCTTGTATGTTGCTGTGATGATGGAAGCTATGCCACTGGTATTTTACATACCAGCAGGGTCAGCCATCGTGGATGGGTTTCAGTGGAGTTCCCAGACTAAGACAAACTAGGAAGGAGAGGCAGACCACTTCTGAATGATTAGCCACTGAAACCCTAGTGACTAGCAGTGGGAGACTGTCTGATATATTGCCAGAAGATGAGCCCCTCTGGTTGGAAAGCACTCAAAATATGACTGGAAAACAGCTGCCACCTCAAAGTAGAGTTGACCTGAATGATGTGGATGGAGTCAAGCTTTCAGAACCTTCTTTTGCTCTTGGGGCACAACTCAAAATGAGAAGAAACAGTTGTAAACATCCATTAATAATTAAAATATGGAATGTACAAAGAATGAATCTAGGAAAATTGGAAATCATCAGAAATTAAATGGAATGCATAAAGATCGACATCCTAGGCATTTGTGAGCTG